AGTCTGCCCACTAGAGTGTGCACATGGCGTCCGGCTTTGCCGGCAGATGTTCAGGTTCAGTTCAGATGTGACTTATGTCACGAGATTCAGTTATCAGTTACGTGACTTCGGTCGCGGGATTCAGACCGGTGTATCAGTTTCAGTTCAGTTCAGTTATATATACTCAGTTCATGATCATGTTATTATTTACGATGTATTACATTAGCATGAGTTTCTGCGCAGCACAGTGCCTTAGTGCTCACGCCCCACATTTTCATGATTTTCAGGTCGCAGGGTCGGGGACGACGAGTGAGCGGGCGAGCTGTTCAGGATATTTGTGTTTGATGTACCTGATGTGGGATGATTAAACTTTTCAGAACTTTTTATCAGACTTTTATGTTTTGCCACGCTAAGACTTCCGCTAAAAATTTCCAGACTTTGCTCCGACGTCAGTCGGATAATAAATTATAACCGTTTTATGTATCAGTTTTAAATTCTAACGGTTTTCAGAAGTCATGTTTTTCACGGTAACCCCCGAATCAGTTTCGCAAATTAAAAAGTTAGTTTATTTATTTATTTATTCAGAATATTTGCGAAAAACCGCGTACTCTGATGTATTAGTCAGACGGGGTGTTACAGGAATATTGTCAGGATAAAGTATGCGTCTCTGGGATTTGGAGGACCGGATGTCGCGAGGAAGTCAGTAGGACGATTCCCCTCACGGAAGATGTGCGAGATCTGAAAGTGAATCGATCGAAGTATGGCTCTAATACGCATGAGCGGGTGCTAAATTTGCCATGTGCCCTGATGGCTTGTGGTCAAGAGAGTGATGACAGCGCGCGACAATGTCCAACTCTATCCAAATGTGAGAGGAGATCGAAGCAGCAACCTGAAGATTGATTTAACGTGCCTGAATCTCCGCGTCGTAGCTTGAGGAGGCCCGAAGAGGGGCATGGAAAGCGGTAATAAGAGCACCACTATGGTCCCTAACCAGACACCCACCTCCGACGGCTCTGGTAAGTTGGACAAAGGATCCGTCAGTGTTTAGCTTAACCCAACGAGGCTCAGGTCTCAGCCAAACAACAGCTATGGGGCATGGATGCTGGACAGGCAGCAGTGGAGGTGGTGTAAGGCGGTGAGGGGACGTGCAACCTGTCCAGTCTCTCTGGGTGAGTCTGCCCAAAGCAATGAGGAGAGAGAGAGAGAGAGATGTCGGCCAACCTGCAAAATAATATGGTAACAAAAAAAGAGTTATATCTATGCTTCACATTTTTCCTTTATGTCCAAATGGCCCAAAAGATCAATCAAGGAATAAGGGAGCTCACATGTCTACTTTGTGTGTTGTGTCTGAAAAAACTCAGAAGTTCAAAGAAATTGTCTGTGGAGGGTAGGGATATATGAGTGAAACTAGTATAATGCTCCCACACCACTCTCAAGAAACAAATGGCTAAAGTTCTTCATTTTGAAAAACGCCGGTCTCAGCACAACAATAGCAGCGTGAGGGTAAGGAGAACCCCTCGCCTGCATCATAGTATCAATCGGTAGGCGGCGCAAAAAAAGGCGCCAAAGAAAAACAGAGATGGTCAGGGTGGAGGAACTGGATCGAAAAAGGGGGGGATTCTAGCCAACTGTAAGAAGGTCGGTTCAGATGGCCCCAAAGAGAAGGTTAGGTCGATTACCCAGCCGTACTTCCCCCATGCCGAGGACGTAGAGAATGCACCCGAAGATGTAAATCTCCACCTCATACCGTCCAAACC